ATAGAGAAAGCACTTAAGCCATTTTCTCCGCCTTTGAGTGTAAGCGTGCCCGTTTGCCGCGGCCACGTCTCGCGAGCTAGAAAATCAGCCATTACACTCAAGTAAGCCAAGTGAGCCTCAAGTGGCTTGTAGCCGCCGAGAGGGGAGGGGAGCAGAGTGTTTCAGCGTAATGTGGCCACTGGGCGGCGCTAACAGCAATTAGGCTACATTCGAGCAAATGGATTGTGCATTACCGACGACATGGATTGATTTATTGGCTTCCCCGGGTAAACACCCGATCGTGATCGGCTCTCCGCGTTGCAGTGTACATCTGGCCAATAGAGTCATTACATTACACAAACTATACCTCGACAAGTTTGAAAGGCGATTAATAGAAATGACCTGAAATTCGTTTTACCGACACTATTCCAGCAAACTATTGGTCATAACAAACCATAAAACAATTCTCTAAGAATTGAAATGAAAACTCATTTCCAGGTAAAATACCTATTTGTCACGCGATTGAACGGTTGGCTGTAACGTATCGGTCGATACCTCTTTTACATTTTTCCAATACGCCCGTAAATTGGATTCACAAGAGCTTAATATTAAATTCATGTCCCTTAGATCACTGCTCTTTATGCCGACATCATATTTTTTGATATTCCTTCACGTAAAAGATCACATCTGTTAGTGGCCGGGCATCTATGTACCGGTCTATGAATAATAAATGTGGCGAGCCAGCCGATTGGGGAAATTGAATTTTATAGTTCATAACACATACGAGGACAGATGTCACAAAATGGCCGCTCGCCGGCGGCTACGTAAGTCGTAATCGAAATGTCAAATAGAAATCAAAATTAGGTCGATTGTAGTGTTAATAATTAAATAACGATGGGCTAGGTGACGGCAGCATGTGTGCATTGTGCGGCATTAGCGAGGGAGCAGTGGCAGCGCGCCCACTGCCTGCCCAAACATAAGGCAGACGTCGGCTGCAGGCGGGGAAGGTGCGAACCTATTGTGATTAACAGAGTTACTTCTGTTTGGATGGACAATTATCGGTCCATTACGCAGAGTACACAATGACCGGCTTTCCATTAAATTATTCAATACCATTCAAATGTCACCATTCGTGTCGATATTATGTGGGCAGTGAGTATCACACGCCACGATACGCTTTTACCGTAATTTTGGAAATCAATTGTTTCGGAATGATTAACTACATCCATTTATTATTAGAACGACAATATTTGGTGGTAAATTACGTCGTATAATAGAATACGTGTTGCTTGAAGTATCTTTCGTTCAATAGAGCAATTCTAAGTGGAACTGTAGATGGGAAGGCTGGGAATATTTAATGATTTGCAATATTTTTCTAACATAAATTTAATTAAAATAACTCTATCGTATGATTACTAATACAAAAAAAATTTTGACCAGGTAGGACTTGAACCCGTGACTATGTCGCACCGTAGCATTGCTCTTACCAACTTGATTTCGATTTGTGGCTCAGTTGGTAAGAGTAATGGCTACGGCATGCATATGCAGCATGGTCGTGGGTTCAAGTCCCACCGGGTGGAAAAAAATTTTCTATGTGTTTGATCTTTATATTAATAATCGTAACAAAACTAGTGGAGGTTTTTTGTGAAGGAGTTATTACACAAAAATCCTCAATAACAACTCTACGTTATTTTTGCTTAAAAATAATTATTTTAATTGCCTGTGCAATGCAAGATAAAATCGGTTACTTATCTTCAATCTTCAAAAGTTGCAGCTCAAGGATATCGAATGACGAAACATTAAAAGTAACTCAATTTGCCTTTAACTGATATATTGTTGTTAATTGATTTCCCCTCAGTGAGTCTCGCTAACAGCAAGATAAATTCGTGCTATCCGTTTACATCATTAAATTTTATTAGTGGTAACACAATGGCTGGGCCATTCGCGCGTCGGCGGAGAGGAACTTTTCTGTCGATTGATGGCGTCCCCCCCACCAATTCGCATTTCCTTTTGGCGCGTATTAAGCAGGCTATTAAAACTGTTTTGAAATGTATGACGAATTGTAAAGCGGAATGGACAATGGTGACGCATTCACATGATGATTTTAGTGTTTTGCAATAAAACAAACCCATTTCATTTCCAATGAGCGCTTTTCTAGTTATAATAAACTAACTGTTTGCGGAAAAATAGAGTTGTCAAAACGCATAAATAATGATTTACTTAACAATCCAGTGTTATTTTTACATTAAATTATTGTGTATAAGTACACATACCAGATATCTGTAACTAATCATTTTTATTTGGAAATGAAGCTATTTATCGGATCAACGCACGTACTCAACATAACCCCGCACTAGGGAAACCCTATGTTGCGGGTGCCGTGGATACACACATAGACAACCACAAATTACACCCAAACTTACGAGATAAATAAATGTAGCTCATACAGATATTTCTCCCGACCCGGGAATCGAACCTGGGACCTCTGCGTGGCCACAGCCACGTAGGCAATTAAATATATAAAATATAATACTTATATATGATATAAAATCGCGAAAGTATTTGTTTTTTTTTCATACAAGAAAACGTTTCGGTCTCTTTACAGTCATGGCTGACTCACTGCATACGACCTGTCGAAAGTCGAAACGTTGGTTCGTTTGGAAAAATAAATATATGTTATTTCCAAAAATAACGGAAACCTTAGAACTTTCAATAAACAAGTTCTTTTATCTAATGAAAACAACATTGTTTAAAAAAGGTCGTTATTTGATAAGATATATGTTTTTAATTTAATAATTCTTTATGCTCTTCCATTATTAATGGCAATTACCAATATAACCAGAATATTAATGTTGGTAAAAACAGTGTTGCTGTAAGTTTTTTTTATGTCACATTGAGTTTTATTATGAGTGAATTATTCAAATGACATTAACAACAAGTTATGAAATTGAAAATAGAGAAAAACGTATTTGTACGTACAAGACGTAAATAGAATCCAGTTTAATATGTATTTTCAAATATTAGAGTTAAATAATAAAAAAACAAATATATTTCATTTTAAGGAAATTACAGATTTCTTAAAAAATATTTCTTCAGAATAATGGTCGGAATATTTATCATATTGTAGAGCAATAAAAGTTTAAAAAAATTCGGGCTCAGGCGTTGCAAATTGTACTTTTTTTATATAAATATAATTGCGCATTTGACCTCCATCTCACCTGATGAAAAGTGACGATGAGGTCGACGATGGAGCATGCACACCTAAATAATAATAATTCACTCTCGCCTTGAAAAGGTCCAAGTTATAGCGTTCAGGGAACAAGTCTCCAGGCAGGGAATTCCACTCCATACCCGTTCGCCATATACACGTAGAAGCGTAACGCTTCGTGCGAACTTTGGAATATCCAAAACATAGGGGTCCACCCCCACCCAAGCCTATGTCTAGTCCCCCTATGATGGAAACGGGAAGGCGGAATTAAATCGTGTAATTCCATCGCACACTCTCCGTGATATATCCTGTAAAATACCGATATGCAGGCAATTACTTCATATTTCGAGTTGCAACCGAGTCCGGACTTGACAGAATACAAATAAAATTTTATTAATTATGACAAAAAACCATTCCCGAAATGACACTCTCGTTATATGTTCCGGAACTCAGATTCAGATAAAAAACCGAAAGTACCGACGTCCATTTGTAGATAGATGAACTGCTTCCACTTTCTACGTTACTCTACTTTCATGCTTTACAGAATTATTGGAAACGTAAATTGTCAAGCCGTTCGTGATGAACCTCAAATAAATTAACACTAATACAGTGTAAAATCATTTATTACATTGCCCTTCCATTCGAATGATTATGGATACGATCTAATAAATTAAGTAATAAGCACACTCATAGATTAACTTGAATATCGAAAACGAGGTATTTTCAATCTGGCCATGGCAATCATTATTCGATTAAAAGAATTCAATCGCCACGATTATGTATGCGTTGTGTCACCTAATAGATAGATGGCGTGTGCAGCAGCTATTAGTGTTGCAAGACTCATAATATCTGTTATAAATGTCAAGCGAGGCGATGCGACGCGGCAGTTATTTCGTATATTATCGTCATTTCAATTTTGAGCCTAAACAAGTGGTCTCTATCTGCTATTATGGCTGTTAATGTCACGCGATCCCATCGCGCTGTAACAAGTTAACAATAATAGAAAAATTTGGGTTTGTTTCGTGAACAATATCTTTTTTGAGGTTCCGAAGTTTGATGTTTCTCCGTTTTTCATTTTAAATACAGAAAGAATGTAACAACAGATGGTAGTTCTGTGCTTGTACCACAAGACTGATAATCGCTCAAGATTATAAAATGTTGTATGGTAAACTGTACAGCGCTTCTGTTGGCCACAAGAAATAAAATTTTCCATACAAATGTTTTACACGGCCGCCAGCGACTATTGACACTTTTGACTACTGACAAACGAAATTAATAATTAATTAAGTTGTAGTCAATGTAGTGCCCTTACAGGGTTCAAGTCGACGACAGCAAAAAGTAATAATAGAGCATTTTAAAAGCGAAACTTGAGAGAATAATGATTTTCTGAATAATCGTCAGACATATTGCCTCATTACTCAAAATTTTAGGTAATTCGGTCTATTATATCAGAAAATATCAAATTTTTACTTTCAAAATGCTCTACTGTTGTGGATGTGTTGGAGTCTTTTATTACACTTAATTTTAACACCGTTGTCAATCCACATGAATTAATGAATTATGAATAAAATTCATTGTAGAGGTACATAGGTATAGAATATACTCGTCTACCTACATGTATGAGAACTCGGATAAGGACTCCAGATCTATGTAAAGTGGCCATAGATAAATGAATATATAATAATAATGATAAATCGTATACATTGTTTGCAGATAATTATAATTAATAATTATTTAATTACTATTTAACACAATTAATATTAAATGTTACTTTAAAAATAAAAATAACAATAACCGACGTTAAAATAGTACTCAATAACATTGATCACTGCAGAACTCCCATTTTTAAGGGCAAACATTAAGCTAATATCATTGGATACGAATCGACAAAACATAGTCGGCCGTGAACCTAGTAGCATGGTTTGCCAAGAACCCTGGGGTAAAATTAAACTGAGCTCCTATTAAATTTGTTGGTCAACGGATTCCTTTTCTCATCTAAGAGTCAACAGACTCCCGAGTCCTTGGACACTGTGGCGTAACCTTTAGGTCAAAACTATCGTGACGATGCTCCAAGATTCTAATTAATCTCTAATTATGGGAATACCGTCAAGTTTCGTGATTTGCTGTAATCTGTTCGAGGCTTGTGTGCGCCACGTATCTACGTCGGGCTGACTTTCCACTAACGGGTTCCCTATCATCACCAGGTCTCGTAGGGCTGGACACTCCTAGAAAAATGATTGAAATGAAATGAAATGAAATATTTATTGATACAAGAGCAAGTACATATACATCTCCCTATCTCCCAAACTAGGTGAACCTGTATCTTGGGAGACAGCACCTTCCCAATCAATGGTTACAATTCAAGTATGTATTATAACTAATATGACAGATGGTAGCAAATTCTGAGACTTAACCATTATTACTGTAATATTAGTAAACATGGCATTATCATTATTATTAGAGTATTGCTTTACGTATATTTTTTAATACTTATATTATTTGTTAGTTTATGTGCTCATATATGTGTGTGATTGTGTATGTATGCGCGTGTGTGTATGTGTGCATGTTGTGGTTTACCTACGCATTTGCCATTGTATTGGATGTAAAAGGTTTTCAGTTTGAGCATAGTTTAGTTTCGACAACATAAGTTTTACTGTTCTTTTTAATGAGATTCTATTCAATTTTATAATATCTACATTCTTGTTAAGGTTCTTTAACAGGAAGGACCTCTAAAGCTAAATTGTCTTTGCGCGATATTTGTTCTAAATATTGGAACAGGAATACGTGGTATTCTTTTGTATTCAGAAGTGGGTGGCAAAGTTGCGAGAGCAGATTTAATTAAGTTGTATTTTTGTGTAATATTGTATAATATATAAGACAGTTATACATATAACTGTTTTATATATTCGTGGCAGTCCGACATGGTAACTGTTAGGCTACAGATTCAGATTCAGATTCATTTATTTCTCAAATATAACATTACAGTATAAATTGCACTACATGTCAAAGTATAAGAAATTATATTGAGATCGTCAGACAAAAAGGAAAATTATAAGAAAAGCACACAATAATTAGAAAATTAACAATTCATTATATAATATTGTTGTCATTAAATTACATATCAGATATCATTCTCCATCAAGGATCGTCATAAGTTGATAATTATACAAGAGCGTGTTAATGCGGTAAAAATTAGAATAAAAATATAAAAATAGAAATTACTGAATTCGTTACAATTTAAAGTCCATAAATTCTTTTACAGAGTATATAGGATTTTTCAAGAAAGAGTCTTTCAGCCGGCGCCTAAATGTTTCGTCAGACGGTTCAAGTCTGAGAGTAGCGGGTAAACGCTCATAGTAAGTAGGTCCGATGACACGCGGGTTTTTCTCTGCAAGTGCCATGCGTCGAGGGACTGTTCTCAAATGACCGGTACGGCGTAGTGGGATGCCAGAAACATTTACAGTACCAAATGAAGACAGATTATTTCTAACGTACATTATAATTTCGTATAAGTAGAGTGAGTAGTGCGTCATTATGCGTTGCGCTACAAAGAGATTTCTGCAGGAATGTCTGTGTTTTACCCCAACCAATACGCGTACGGCACGTTTTTGCATTAGCATGACTCTATTGGCATCCGTGGAGTTACCCCATATGAGTGAACCGTACGACATCAGCGAGTGGAAATATGCAAAATAGACCTGTCTTAATGCAGAATCAGAAATGAGCAATTTCAGTTTACGCAACGCAAAGACTGCACCACTCAGTCTATCACACAGTCTGTCAACATGGCACTTCCGAGTCCAGAGTGAAGCCAAGGAACCTACTATGACTACGTTATTACGTTAGTTTTGATTATAGTGACCCTCCCTACCTACCCTTAGGGCATACGAGAAGGACACCATAACCTGTGCGCGTACAGGAACCTTACAAGTTCAGGTTCTGACCCCAGATCAGCCAGTGCACAGGGTTGTCACCGACCTCTGTCACTTGACTTCATCCGGTTCTTCGAGAGGCTAGTGCCTCGGGTGAGTCGCCCCGGGTGCACCTCCCTATTTTCCAGATAGGTACCGGAGCTGTAGGCACGCTCACTTCCCGTTGCGCATTGCACAAGTAGCAGTTGCCACCGCTAAGCCGTCGACTCTGAGTCCACTACCAAATATCCTCATTGGCGGCGGAGCAATAAGACACGCTCACTTCCCGATACCGAAAAAAAACGACGTCTCTCCAGTTCCCAATAACCTAAGCGGGTGGAGGGACCGGAGGGTATCTAGCTTATCCTCTACTAGCTCTCCGGGCTAGTGCCGGAGATGCCAGTCGCAGTGACTCCTGCGACAATGTCCGGACATAGCTTGCAACTTAAAGGGCAACTCACGTGCCCCGCGCGTCTCCTCGCATACAGGCCCTCAGCTAGACCGCTACTAAGGCGTGCTAGCTGCTCATGAGACACGACGCCCCGGCACAAGCAAAACCGGGGCAGGCAAACATGTCCGTCTCTGCAGCTAACCACAAACCCCAGCGAGTCCTTACCCAAGTCCGGGTCCGCCAGAGAAAGCCAGATACGCAAAGGCGTATCACTGGCTGAGGGCTTGGCCCGGACGCCCGCCGTACCCTGGTCTTGCCGTCGAGCCCGTAGTCTCTCCGGAAAACCCTATCTCTCAGGTCGGTAGAAAGGGACAAAGGCTACGACGGCAGTTATTAATTTAGTATACCTACCCCCATTGTGCCGAACGGTACCACGTGGATCTGCCATGCAGAGGTCTCGGGTTCGAATCCCGGGCCGAGAGAAATATTTGTATGTCTACATTTATTTCTCTCGTGAGGTTGGGAGTAATGTGGTTGACTACGTATGTGTACATGGCACCCGCGATACAGGGTTTCCCTAGGCGGGGCTATGAGTGTGTGTGTTATTATAATTCTACAAAACATTATGATGATAAAAATTATCGTGTAACTTTATGATGAAAAATAGTTTTTACATTTAGAAAAGTACATACTTGTAGTCTATTGAATTCTGCCCATTCTTTGATCAAGTTGTTAGAACAGTAGAAGACTTTGAGATTCTTGAGAGTACCGATTCCTTTAAATTTGTCTATTAAGTTGTAGCTAATCCACAGTTCGGTCAAAGAGTCGGCCACAGTTTCCTTGAAAAAGATGCTCATTATTAAATAGTAAACTAAATAAGACGTTTACTTCGTGGTGTGTATCATCATCATCAACCACTTTATACGTCTCACTGCTGGATATGGATCTCTTCCCAGGCGAGGGTTTAGATCAGTTCGCCACGTTGGCTTAATGCGGGTTGGGGACTTTACACGTTTGCCGAGGGTTGTGAACCCTCTTCGACGTGCAGATTTTCTTCATCACGATGTTTTCCTTCACCGAAAAGCTCTTGGTAAATTTCAAACTAAATTTCTCACAAATTCCGAGAAACTCAGAGGCATGAAACCGGATTCGAACCCACGACATTTGCTTCAAAGGCACTAGGTCAAATCATTAGGCCACCACGGCTTTGTATATATATTACATTTATATAGTTAATACATTATGTACAGATACGTGCGCTAACCAGATTCTCCACCTGGATAAAGCAAGGGATCTTCGTGCAACAACGTCCTTCAACAGTCGTGTGCAGGAATCATCTAATCGAAAATTAAGAAGAGGCGTAGGTACTATGTTTTCTTTTAACAAATAAATTTCTATTCCATACTACTATATAAGTAGATAGGTAACGTACAGGTTGAAAGCTCTTGTGATGTTGCATAGTATAATCATGACTGTACAAAAACATTATTAGTAGGAAGTGGGCGTTTGAACGAAATGCACGCTTATAATCTTATAAGCGTTTCAGCTTTCTTAGGTCTCAGGACAAACCCTGTCGCTCTCTCGTTACGTCCCGGTTATCTTTCCTTCCTTCAATTCTGGTTTTTAATCTCACTTCTTCACTGTTCATGCTGTCTGACTTTGGAACGCACTTCCTATTTCTTTCTATTCACGAGAGTACATCGTTAGGTAATTTTAAACACGTATTTATGAATTTGTATTTTCTAACACTAGTATAACTAACTATAACTAACTAACCAATATGGATGAAATCTGAATTAAAGTATATGAATTTGAATTTGAATTTAAATTTATTTACTGTTCCATCCATTTTACAGGTATTAAATTGTGAAATATGTACTTATCTATGTATTTATCTACTTTATAATAGTTTAATGTTATTTATTAATATTATATTACATAATTTTGTTGATTTTGTGCACGTAAGCCCCTTATTGTAGATATTTTGTCCTGTATTTAAGTCTGTTGGAAGAAATTTCTTATAGGAATAAGCAGTACCTTTTGTTTGTGTTTTCCTTTTTAAATGTAATCTGTGCTTTTTCCTGTGCAATAAATAACATAATAATAATAAACTTATAACATTATAATCTCAAGTTGCAAGCGTTGCTCAGTTTAATACTCAACAATTACATTTTTTCCCGCCATCTATGTTTCCTATATATATATACAAATTCGTCAATGTGAATAATAAATCAGTAATCGGAATTGAGGGAGTTAATCTATCTTAAGTATTAACGCCAAAAACAGTCTAAAGTATTTGAATACGTAAGTACCTGTGGAAACACAATTATAATATTATTTTTTGAGACAATAATTTATAACAAATACTTAAAAGGAAATAATAATTTGTCGCCAATTTATTCAAATTTCAATGAATAATACACTTATTCAAAGCTGAATAAACATACAGAATGTGTGTGTCACTCCCTTAATTAAACAGTGCTCCCTGGTATATCCCGCTTGTCCGAGTCAGATATACTTTGGCTGGGTGTGGTGCCACTGAGGAATATTCGAATATTATCATTACCGAGAAGTCTCGGGATTTTTAGAAGGGAATGTCCACGTTATTGTTTAGTTTAGCCAAATTCACTCCCTAAATTCCAAATATGATAATAATGCATACAATTAAAACTGGTTTCTTACAAATAAACATACTTATTTTAAAATCTTTAGTAGCCTACTCACGTTTTTCACAGTCATCACGATGTTGCAATTTTTTTTAAACATAATGTTTATGGGCCTGGACGTTTTTTTAAACAATTTTGTAAGCTTCAAACGTTTTGACGTTAAAAATTAATAAGCTGTGTTTTCTAAGTTAGAGACGAGGACCTGTAAATATCCCATATTTTACTCAGGTGGAGAACCTAGGAGTAGCACGATGCGGCGCATAATACATAGTAGGATAATACTACTTATGAATTCTGAAATGTGTCGCTAAAATGACCTTTTGGCATTGTGTTACCTGTAGAAAATAAATAGTTAATTAGCAGTTTGTAAGACGAAGAGCGAGCACATCTAATTTATCTGCGTTTATATATATAATTATTGAACAGAAACTTACTACTCCAGCCAAAGATTTGATGTAATTGCGTCCCAGGGAGAGAACTTTAAGATTTCTCATGCCCGCAATGCCCGCTATTTTGTCAATCATGTTTGAAGATAGACTTAGTTTCCTAGGAAACACGTATAAACATTAAATTAGAACAATAACTACATTAGAAGTAGAGTACGTTAGTGATACATATTCAAGGTACGTATTTCAGAATTATTTTTTTACAAACGAAATTAAAGCCATTTGAATAATGTGTAACGTAAATATACGTGTTCTATTTACATCAGTTGATATAAAAAAAGAAACATTGGTATATACAAACTACCTTTGGATACTGCGATTTTCTTGTAAAATTTCAATGTTTCTGTATTTTTTGAATCGTCAAAATTTTTAGAAATCAAACTCAATCACTCAATTATATATACAAAGTGATTGGTTCAACACTTTCGTTATGCGAACCAACCAATTTATGTCAACCAAAGTCACATAACTCATCATCATCATTATTTCAGCCCGATGACGTTCACTGCTGCATAGCCTACAGAGCGAGTGACCCGTAGCCACTCAGTTGAAATGTAAATACGTAATAGTGTTAATCTAACTCAAGAAAATTAGTACCAGTTAGCCGATACCATAGGCAGCAGGTACTTTAGTTACTTACTCGCAGTTTGTGAGTGTAGAGAGAGCGCCGTCCATTTTTTCTATCGGTGGCCATTGAAATTGCAGCTCTATTGTTAATGCCTCAGTTGCCGTTTCGCCTTTATCTTTCTCCCACTTGGCGATGGCTTCTTTGATTGTCATTCCTTTCATAGCCATGATGGAAAATAATATTACAGATTCAGGCTAACGCGAAAAATGTGTAGGAGATGGAAATCTTAATTAGGTTAATGGGAAAGTACTTATTTATATCGTTTTTAAACAGGGTCAATATTTTACGGCAAATGACTTTTATCCACTTGTTACTTCAATTCTGACATGAGGTGTACGAAATTTCGTTGACAGACTTTTTAAGCTGTCCTTAAAACTTCTATCATATTGTATGTAAGAAAGGAGATTTATTATGTTTACATATTTCCATATACATATAAATAAAAGTTTCCCCATAGTCTTTATTTAGAATAAAGTTTTTAAATTTACTCCAACGTAAATAGTGTAACATAAATGTACCCAACAAACAATAGCATAATGTATTAATTTAATTGTATATAAGTATTTATCGAGTTCTTAGGTTTTCGCGATTGTTACACATAGGAAATGGAACTATTTTTCCGGATTTAAATCGCGTATATTTGTTTTTTCAAATACAAATATACGCTATTCAAATCCGGAAAAATAGTTTCATTTCCTATATTTATTTATTTATTAATACGGTAACTGGTGCATATTTTTGGAAAAAATATAAAATGTCACTCACTGAACATTAAGAGTGGGTAGCATGACCGTACATTCTTTTCGCAAGTACATCAATTTAAACATTCACATTATTCATCATCACCCCATTTAAAAGGTTCTCCAAAAAATAAATGCCTTGCTGCTGCCTTAACGTTGGCGTTTTTGACCAATATTAACTGACTGTACTTTCCGAAACTGTTGATCATTGACCAATATTAACTGACTATATTGACTGACCCTAGTGGCCGCCATTAAGGAAATAAAAAAATTATATATCTCCCACTGTTGAGGCGAGTCTCTTCACCGGCGAGGGTTTGGCCTACCGTCCGCTACGTTGGCCCAATGCGACTTCACACGTTTTCCGAGAGTTGCAAACCTTCTTCGACGTACAGGTTTCATCATGATATTTTCTTTCACCGTAAAGCTCATGGTAAATTTTAAATTAAATTTCAAAGTCACAGGTGCGCGCCCGGATTTCAACCGACGGCTTGAGAGGCGATAGGTCAAACTATTAGGCTACCACAACTTTTTTTACAGTTTTAAGAGTACAAGAAGAAGAATTTTCGTTAATTCCATTTTTTCATTCATTCTATTGCGATAAAACTTCCGTGAGATATTGTGCCCACGCCCGCAAAAGTTTCTGAAAGATTAGATCCCAATGAGTGTTGGGCACGATATTTCTCTAGATCCCAATGAGTGTTGGGCACGATATTTCTCTAAGGGGAGGATTGAGATAAGACCATTTTTTACAGAGCTAAAAGACAAATAGCTGCAAAGGCACCTTGCTGAGTAACTTTTTTGTCACAGGTGGACTAACGGCGAAAAAAGCTGTTTAAAACTGTAAGAAACTCAAAGAAATTCGTAAGGTCTGCTGATTAGATCTGTAGTTCTTTTGATTAGGGGCGGTGCAGTCAGATCGAATGATTTTTCGTTGTTATCGATCTTTATGATATATGTATACTAGTTGGTGCACGCGACGTCGTCTGCGTAGAATAAGTACTTTGAATAGCCTACTGTTTTGTACTAATACTAATTTTCATTGCAAAAGGCAGAAATATGAATTTTGATTTGAGACATGATTGGTTTTCGATACAAAATTTCATCCTGTATTCCATCCACTTTAAGATTTATTTTTGTTTCAAAAAGTAGCCGATGTCTTTCTCCTAGATCTCATCTATCTACATACCAAAATTCATCAAATTTGGTTCTGTGGTTTAGGTGTGAAAACGTAACAGAGAGAATTGTTTTCACATTTGAATAAGTCAATGTTTGAATATTATAGTTTGAATGAATAACAAACTAATGGGGTATTTTCACCAAAAATATATGAAAATCATGTTAGTAAAACGTGTTGGTAGCCAATTTTTAATTTTTACTTTTTTTATCACACCACGCGACGCGACGAACAAGTCGTACGCCCGCTGGCAAGCGACACGCCTATCCATAATAGTTGCAGTGCCATTCAGAGCCTTAAATCGCAAAGATCTTATGGGCACCGCCACCGCGCCCGTCACCTCGAGACAAGTTCACAAGTCCCATGTGCCTGCAATTTCACCAGCACACTTACCTTTCTAATCGGAACGCAGTAATGCTCACATTACCGCTTGGCGGCAGAAATAGGCAGGGTGGCAGCACTTCTCTGGACGAACTCTTTCACAAGAAGCTCTACTGCTACTAAACGACGGTAAGTTATTATCTCAATGTATTTAGCAGTGCAACAGCCTGAAGTTTCGTTATTGCGTGACTTTTATATACTCATTTAATCGGTACTACAAGGTATAGGCTCAAGACAAGCTTGACACTTACCATTAAAATTCAATTCTATGCTGTTATACATAGTACTTGTATATTATGTTGTTAACAATAAGAACGGTCCAAAGTTCAAAATAGTGAAGCACGACCTAGAAGATCGGATCGTTACTAGTGCTTTCAAATTTTCTATGGAAATTATAATGGATTCGTAGTGTAAATATACTTCTTAAATATTTTAAAATTGAAGTTTTAAAGACATTAGTTACATACAGACTTACATTGTTTTGATAATTTATAGTAGTTCTAAATTAACACGAAATGAAGTTAAAAAATAATACTAACATACACATCGTCGTTATTTTAGCCGTAATGCGTCATCAGAGTCATACTTTTGGTTTTTTTGTTTACGTGTCTAAAATTTTTTAACCTAATTTTGTAAAACAATAGACATTTTTAATTTTATTCATATAAAAGATAAAAAACTTAAAAACAATAATACAACGGTTAAGAATAAAACGTTAAACCTAAGTAGGTCCGATAGAAAACAATCGTTAATTAAATTCATTAAAATATGTAGTATAAAGAATTTATAGAGCAGGCTATTAGATAGGTGTTTACTACGATCAAGATGCTAAGTTCAACCTACACGACTTTTGCATCGATCATTCAGTTATACACGGCGCTGTAAAATGTCATAGTAGACATATCCTTGTTGGCAGTTTCTAATCTTCTTCTCTGACGATGGGTATGCCATCAAGTTTAATTATGTTTTTTAACCTCGTTGTAACGTCCTTGCGCCATGAGTCAATGTCTGGTTGAGCCTCCATAATTGGATTTCCCATCAATACTACATCTTTAAGGTTCGGACATTCCTAAAATAAAGAGTTACCGCATTAGGCATTAATGCTTGATGTCCTGAAATAGCTACACTTAATGTTGTTTTTATTTTATTATTTTCATCGACACATAATTGACGACACAGATTTTAAAATCTTTAACAATGCGTAAAGAGGATTTAATTGTGCACATAATGGTGTAGAGAGATTTAATTTTATTTGTATTATATATACACACGTCAAAAAAAGTTTGCGATCAGTTTGAAAACTTAACATATTTTTAATATGTGGAAATATTATTAAGAAATATGTAATAAATAGTTTTTTTGTTAAAAGTACAACATTAAATAAATAATTAAAGTTAAAAACAAATAATAGTATCACTAAAGAGGTTTTTGAAATATTTTTAGAAATTAAATAATATTTCAAGTTTTAAAAGTGATCGCAAACTTTTTTTGATGTTATATATATATATATATCTATATAGATTATTTGTAAATACTTCATTGTACACAATTAAATTTTCAGAAAAAATTTAAAATATTAGAGAGACGATCTTATCCCATGAAGGGATTTCTTACAGCTAACCTTATTAATGTGTTTTGTATACCAATACTATGTAAATACTAAATACGTACCTGCAATCTAACCACTTCCGCCCACTCTTTGATAAGATTATTTGAGATATAAAATACTTTCAATTTTTGCATAACATTAATTCCTTTTAGTTTATCTATTAGATTGTAGCTGATCCACAGTTCTTCGAGTGTGGCAGCTACTGCCTCCTTTAAAGAAATAAGTTATTGGAAATACTTATGTAAAGAGCATTTAACATTTCAAAAGATGAAAAATAAAACATACAATTCCAGATAAACTTTTGATATTGTTGCGTGCCAAGGAGATAATCTTGAGGTTTTTCATACCACCAATTCCTGCTATTTTGTCTATCATGTTGGACGAAAGACTCAGTTTCCTACAAAAATAAAATATTTTTTTTGTCTTTCATAATATCCAGGGACGGGACGAACAAGCCTGCAGTGTCAATCGCAAAAACCTGAAAAGCACTGACACTATAAGAATAATATTCATTCATTGTATTTCGGACTCTGGGATCCATAGTGTTAGTAATAGTTTAACTTTATTTAATTTAATTTTAGAGACAATTGAGTTTATTTTTTTAGTAGAACAGCGCGTGGACAGCCATCTGCTTAAAGTCGTAGGCAGCTGCCTCCAGCGCTACAACTTCGGAGGGTCCCAACTGTCGGCAAGGGCGCTGCGGATACAGCGTAGCTGAGCCAGAAGTTAGGCACAATGCTTTTTTATTATATTAAAGAAGCAACCTGTACTCGCCTCAGCAAACATATTACAGAGACTACAGAAACTCGGCAATCTAAATAACACCTTAAATACAAACTTTACATCAGGGTGACTGTGCCCGTCACCATATAGTCACCCTGAGACAAAGTTGACAAGTCCCATGTTCCTATACTTTCACCAGTACTCCTATCCTTCGAAACAGGAACGCCGTAATGAAATAGGTAAGCTGGCAGTACTTCCCTGGACGAATTCTTTCACAAGGAGCTCTACTGCTACTAAATGCTTATAATATATATTGATACAATATGTATTCTAGATATACAAAAGTGTATAATAAAGTACGTCATTTGCGAAAGGATAGAGGGTAATAATAATACCGAATAGCTACAATAGGCGGAGGACGCCGGACAGGCGCAGTTTTTCGCTGAGCTCTTACGTGCCATTAACCCTAACTAACGTAGATAGATACGTATTACATAAGAAACAATAATAAGAGTATGTGCTTCACTGTGGCATAGCAGGTACCTATTCAAAGAAAATCTCTATATACTTACTCGCAATTGACAAGTGTAGAGAGAGCTCCATCCATCTTCGCTATTGGTGGAAATTGGAATTGAAGCTCTATGACTTTAGCTTCGATTGCCTGCTGATTATTGTTCTGCTCCCACCTGGCTATCGCTTCCTTGCAGCTTGTTGCAGCCATTTGTTCAAGTCATTGCCAGTTGGATATTGATAATAATAGTAGCATTACGTAGGCATTTGAGTTGATTTCAATTTGGGCGGAACAGCTTTTGCGCTCTGTACGTTCGTTGGAGTATGTGGTCTATAGTAATATACCTACAAGGGCACACTTCGTGACGCGCAAGCTCGGTTAAGCATATTGCTGACCAATATTGTGTTGTGGCACATGGTCATTTCTACCAATAGAAAACCCACTGTCTTATTCATGACAAAATGTACAACATTCTAAATACTGCTATGCAATAAGTAAAAAAATATCTAGTTTGGTTTGGGATGGAAATTGTACTCTTGAAAAGCACTGACTATGCTTTTTGTTAAAGTTTTTGTTATGTCAATAATACTCCATGGTTTATCTTTTTCTTCTTCTTTTAAATGTTATGGCCCCATCGAAATAATCAATGATTTTGCCAATGTCAAGTAAAAATAACTATGTACGGTTATAGTATTATTATAAAAATTATACAAAAAAATGACATAAATAAATAGTAAACCTCCATGGTTTATGTCTTTGATTTGATTTGTATGACATAAACGAAGTTGAACAAGTTTTTTAAAGTCATAACAACATTTTCTAAAGTCTATTACTTAAATAGATAGATAGTATGTTATATTCTTAGATCACCCAGCTTATACTTAGTCTGGCCATAAATACTGTTACACTTAAAAATAAAAAAATATTACATTTGAATTTGGAATCTGTCATTTTTAAACGATTGTTCATTGTGTTTTCTCATTTTGGCGCCAATACATTGTACAATATTTTGCGATATTAAAATGGAGTGGGGTGATAAAGAGAACCGAATCGCTGTGATTGCATTACACAAAGTAGGTATGGAGCCAAATGCAATTTTTAAAACTCTCTATACACTTGGTATTAGTAAAATGTTTGTGTACCGGGCTATTAATAGGTACAATGAGACTTCCTCTGTTTGTGACAGAAAAAGATCTGGCCGTCCACGTAGTGATCGTACGAAAAAGGTGGTCAAAGCAGTAAGGGAAAGAATTCGAAGAAATCCTGTCCGAAAGCAAAAGATTTTATCTCGGGAAATGAAGATAGCACCTAGAACCATGTCGCGTATTTTAAAAGATGACTTAGGACTTGCAGTATATAAGAGACGCACTGACCATTTCTTAACTGATAATTTAAAGAAGAATAGGGTGATAAAATCGAAACAACTACTCAAGCGGCACGCAAAGGGAGGTTACAGAAAAATTTTGTTTACGGATGAGAAAATTTTTACAATTGAGCAACATTTTAACAAACAAAATGACCGTATTTATGCTCAAAGCTCTAAGGAAGCTTCCCAATTAGTCGACAGAGTGCAACGTGGACATGATCCGACTTCAGTGATGGTTTGGTGGGTGTTAGCTATGAAGGAGTGACTGAGCCATATTTTTGTGAAAAAGGTATCAAAACATCGGCACAAGTGTATCAAGATACCATTCTTGAGAAGGTAGTTAAACCCCTTAACATCACCATGTTCAATAACCAAGTATGGTCCTTCCAGCAAGACTCAGCCCCGGGTCATAAAGCTCGGTCCACGCAGTCTTGGTTGGAAGCGAACGTTTCGGACTTCATCAGAGCTGAAGACTGGCCGTCGTCTAGTCCCGATCTTAATCCGCTGGATTATGATTTATGGTCAGTTTTAGAGAGTATAGCTTGCTCTAAACGCCATGATAATTTGGAGTCCCTAAAACAATCTATACGATTGGCAGAGAAGAATTTTCCCATGGAAAGAGTGCGTGCTTCTATTGATAACTGGCCTCAACGTTTAAAGGACTGTATTGCAGCCAATGGAGACCACTTCGAATAAGCTTTTTATATTTTTAATTGTTGTATATTTATGTATTAAACTGACACACTATAAAAGTAATAAATGTTATTTGCAGTTAAAAAAATATTTTTTTTCTTTATTACAATATTTATGGCAAGACTAGGTACATATAATAAATATCAGCTTTTTATACTCTTACATAGTTTATAAACGTGTAGGTAATGGACAGGGAATATTTGAAACATTTTCCTTTATAGGCACGGAATAAAGTTGTTACGTGTTTTTTAGATTTATTTATTCATGTAAGAATATAATCATGATAGGATTACTTACCATAAAATATTTTACTGTATTAATATCCTAATCTAATGTCCTATCCTAAAAAAATGTTTGTGTAAGGGCAATATGTGTATAAAATTCGTATATAGTGAGTATTTGTTACACGTTACAAGTGCAAATACTAACATTTGTTAAAATTTGTTTTCAAGTTTATCCTGTAAGTTAGAGGTTACTTGGAAATAATAGAGATAGAAGAGAGAGCTATCTAGCAATAAGGCCTCCTGTTATACATGTGTTTTGTTTTTTCTTTATATACTTGTTTGTATTATTGTTGTGTATTTGTATTGTATTCTTTTTTCTTTTCTATCGTTTTGTACACACTCATAGCTTCACTAGAGAAAACCCTGTATTGCGGGCGCCGTGGAAAACATTTCTCCCGACCTGGGAATCGAACCCGGGACCTATTACAGTATTCTATTGAAGGATGAGAATATGTTCTACCTACAGTTTTATTTGTTGCAATTGTTATACTTACGATTAATATTGATTTATTACATCGCTTGTATCGCATCAAATATATCGTCCACTGTTTGTACAGAGGGAGTGTGAAGAGGGGTTTTGGTGCTAGGGTCGTGCCGGTTGGATTCGGACAATCACGTTTCGCCCTCACACCTCCGCCTTCCAGCCCTCTCGGACCCTTGCCATTCTACACGATCGTCTTGCTTACCTATTCAGTTTTCAGCACACGAACTCGCAAGGAATCTTTGATTTTTTTTTATTGTAGTGATTGAATGTTGAGGGTAAACTGTATACGAAAAGTAAAAGGGGTGGGGTTTTTGAAAAAATAATTCTTTTATTATTTACTACTATTACCATTTAAAATAAAATAACTATTTAATTAATTAGTAAATTAAAAATATTTCATTAAAAGTAATAAATTATTTAACTGATAAAACACCCAAACTAAATGCCTCTACAAAAAAAATACAAAAAAAAATAAAAAATAATAAAAAAAATATGTATAATGTGTAGTAAAATACCGACTCTTCGTAACAATAACATTATACTTTATAATTTATGCTCACTGCGTCTTAATATCAATTGAAAATGACACCCTCATAACGCTATGTTTTTATATATTATATTTCATCAGTTTGAGTTAAAATGTCATTCATTCGTCATTTTCCATGTTTTTAAACAAAAACGTGTGGTAAAATAATAGGCAAAATTAACCTACCAAGGCTCCGTGTATTTCAAAATATATATAATAATACGAAATGATTCAGACACAGACAATATTATGTATACGGTCACGTAAACGTACAGTGTATATAATAATGAAATAGCGTATTCACATTGAACGCTATACTGTATTCTATAGTATATGAACGTAGAGTATCTAGAAAAGTACGTTTTTAATAAAAAGAACTCAAGGCATACGTGCTTGGCCCTGAAGCATGTAATTCTATTAAGTACATTTAAATGTATTCGGCGTTTAGCGCTTTTCGCCTACTACTAGACCAACAACATGTATGCCAGAGACGCTATGACATAAATTACAAAATAACATTACTGTACGCCTTATGAATTAGCCGGGTGGGTAATTATTACCCTTCAAAATCCTCTACTCTCACGATGGGCACACCATCGATCTTGCTGACTTGCTTCAGGCGATTCTGCACCTGATTGCGCCAGGTTTCTGCGTCAGCTTGCGTATCCATCACAGGATTCCCGAACAACACGAGGTCTCGCAAGTTGGGACAATCCTGTAAGCAGCACTTCGATAACAGTGTTTGCTTTTTTTATAATAATACCAACTGACGGAATGAACAAGTCGTACGCTTGGTGTTAAACGATACGCTTGTCCATAACAGTTGCAGTCCCATTCAGAGCTTAAATTGCAAAGATCTGAGGGGCACTGCCACTGCGCCCATCACCTTAAGCTTAAGTTGATAAATCCCATGTGCCTGTAATTTCACCAGCACCCTTATCCTTCAAAACCGGAACGCTGTAATGCTCATATTACCGCTTGGCGGTAGAAATAGATAAGGTGGCAGTACTACCCTGGATAAACTCTTCACAAGGAGCACTTCTGCTACTAAAATTTGCTTGCTACCAATCCAGTTTATTGGTCCGACATTGTGCGTGATTTATTCCCTTGGTTTTGTATTTATATCATGGAATAGAATATGGACCAGATTGCTCTTAATCTCAAGATTTAATTTCAATTCTAAGCTACCTACTATAAGAATCCATGGTAGCATAATGGTTTGACCTACTGCCTCTCAAGCAGCAGCAGTAGGTTCAAATCCGGCCACACACCTTAGTTTTTTCTTAGAAGTACTTCCACCTTACCTATTTCTGCCACCAAGCAGTAATGTTAGCATTACTGCGTTCCTGTTTTGAAGGGTAAGGGTGCTGGTGAAATTACAGGCTCATGGGACTTGTCAATTTATGTCTCCGGGTGACGGGCGCTGTGCGGTCTTTGCGATTTGAAGCTCTGAGTGGCACTGCAACTGTTATGGACAGGCATGTAGCTTACCATCAGGCGCACGACTTGTTCGTCCCGTCACTTGATATTATAAAAAAAAGGAAAAAAAAGTTTTTCGGAAGTGATGTGCGAAATTTAATTTCAAAATTTACCATGAGTTTTTCGATGAAGGAAAATATCATGAGGAAACCTGCACGTCGAAGAAGGTTCACAACACTCTATAAACGTGTGAAGTCGCCAACCCACATGTGCCCTGCAGTGGGGCATATAAACGGGTTGACGATATCCGTGCTATCTACGATAAGATTGTGTTAATTACATTGCACAAATACTGAAATCGAATTATTGTGAAATATAGAAACAATAGGTAATTAACTTCACTTTCATCGATGACAGTAATGAAGCGTGAGACACGATTTGTACGAAAAAAAGTTTGTTGTTGAAATATATATATGTAATTGGTACCTGTAATCTATTTACTTCTGCCCATTCTCTGATATTGTTATTTGCTATGTAAAAAACTTTCAAATTTTTCATGGCAGTCATCACTTTCAGTTTGTCGATGCCATTGTAACTGATCCACAGTTCTTCAAGAGTTTCCGCAACCGTTTCCTGTAAAAAAATAAGTTACGTTTATATTAATTTCACCACATTACCATTGTTTGGGAAACCAGTTAACTTTCAGTTCGTGTTTTCTCAATTCTAAAATTTTAAGTTACGACAATATTTAGTTTTGTGTATTGATTAGAAGTCAGTTAAAAGAGTTACTAGTAACTAGAGAATCAATACATAGGTAATATTTCTATCATTTAGGTTAGGTAACTTATCTCTGATGTTCTAATATATAGTATATTTGACTTGCCGCAACGTTATTACTGCGGTTTGATTCTTGATTCGGTTCCTAAAGTTGTATAAAGATAGAGTAATTAAATTTTCAAATATATTACCGATGACCTGGTAAAAGTTGCCAGACTCCTTTGGATGCGAGAAGTTCATGACCGATAGTCAAGTCGTGCGCCTTGTGCTAAGCGACACGCCTGTCTATAACAGTTGCAGTGCTACTCAGAGCTTTAAACAGCAAAGATCTGAGGGGCACTGCCACTGCGCCCGTCACTCTCCGACATAATGTGACAAGTCCTGAGTGCTTGTAATTTCATCCCCTTTTACCCTGCAAAACCGGAACGCCGTAACGCTCACATTACCGCTTGCCGGCAGAAATCGGTAAGATGGCAGTACTTCCCTGGGCGAACTCTTTCACAAGGAGGAAATGATGTTGATGACGATGATTTACTATTCTACTTCGCTGTTATTAAAATGAACGCTTACGATTCCAGACAATGTCTTAATATTGTTGCGACCAAGCGAAAGAATTTTCAGATTCCTCATGCCAGCAATGCCTGCGATTTTGTCAATAATGTTTGAGGAGAGACTTAGTTTTCTGCAACGAAAATACGTCGGCCTTACAAAAGTAAGAGTTATCACATTGATAACACCAAACACCCGACTTAAAATGAACTCTTCTAGTCCAACTACTAATGTCGATCAAAGTTTACAATAAATTACCAAGTGCGTTAGTAGATGAGAAAAGCGACATAATATTTATAAAACAAAGTTAAGAGACTGCTAATAGAAAAATGTTATTATGCTGTTTCAGAATTTATTCAAATGTTATTCAATGATTTAAAAGATTAATTTATTATTATAAGCATGTCCTCCTCTCCAGTTTGCTGTGCCCTATTCAGGGTCTACAATGATCTGTTAAATATTAAACCTACCACCTACCCTGTAAAACATTGTAGAAAATGCACTAAAGTATAGATTGATTGATTGATTATCATCGATTATCTTAGTGTTTGTTTATAATAATTAATAACGTATATTGCAAAACATAGCAACCAATTCGGATTAGCAAAAAAAAAAATTTAAAAACACATTTTTAATGACTATAAAACAGAGAAATTATGTTTCCTGTTGTCGTTACATATTTATTTATTAATTCATTTTATGCAAGTTACACTTGAAATCATACTCAAGTCCCTTCCATTAGGGTCGTATTTCCAGTGCTTTTGTTTCCAGTGCAATCCTGACTTGAGCATTGAGTAGAATTCTAGAATACGACTCTTAGTAAGTCAACACGTATGCCATAGTCTAAGGATTAAATTTATTAACGCCCGAAGTATATTTAGAGATTTATTCTCGAAAATAAAGAATTTTTAGACAATTTCCAAGTACGTAGTTTTCAGTTTGTTAAAGGTCATTTAGACAGAGTCACGATCTTTAATTATTGTTTATTGAATAACAATAAATAATTACATTTGAGAAAATCCAGAAACACACGTTACACAGCAAAACAATAGGGTGGCAGTTTAAACCTTTAGTATGAATTTCACTATCTTCACTACACTGATATCGCTGATCTTCACTATTACTTTTGTGTGTAGTTAGTAAAGTATTTATATAGTTAAGTTTTGTCTATATGTTCAATTATGTTTATCATACATAATAATTATAACTCTAATGTAAAAAATTGATAAAAAATAATGGAAACCAAGAAAAAACACACTCAAATAGCAGCAAAATTTCAAAGACTTACTCGCAGTTGACAAGCGTAGAGAGAGCTCCGTCCATCTTTTCTATCGGAGGCCACTGAAACTGCATCTCTATGACTGTAGCCTCAGATGCGACTTCGCCCTTTTCCTTTTCCCATCTGGTGATGGCTTCTTTACACGTCAACGGTTTTAGGGCTTGATTTAGTAGCATCACGTTTCGTTGGAAGGGGTCGAACTTCGAAGAGAAAGTATATTGTAAGGTATTTACAACTTGTAGGTACGATAGACACTGTAAATTGCATGGATTTATGCGTGTTCGTATCTAACGGTGGAATTGGGTTAGATTATGTGTTGGATATTTTTATACATATACAGGCTGTATATTTGAAAGTGAGACATACTTATAGAGTGCGTTATATTCCTGATTCTGAACTCAAAAAAAATAAAGTTTAAGTTCATCACTTAAACTTTACAAAAAAAAAATTTTTTTTTATCAACTACTACTTGTGAACAACATTACTTATCGAAATCTATGCACACCATATATATTATTGATTACATATTATTGCTCCAATAGACGCAGCGGCGAGAGGCGCGGCGTCACGGCGGCGAAAAACAAAACACAGGTCGGCACTGTTTGCAGAGACAGTGCACGCGCGACCTTGGCCTAGCGAAGACACGTAAATTATTTGTACTTCCGCTCGCCCGAACACTGCGCCAGTGGCGAACGCGCCACTCGCCTGCAAAATGGATATTTATCCTACCGTCGAATTGACTGAGATGGTGCGACTTTACGCAATAGGTGGTGATAGTGTGAGGCGAGCTATTGAAATGTTCCCAAATTGGAGTTTACGCGGAGGAGGTGAACAGTGTCGAAGTTGTGGCATGGGAGTATTATGTCAGCATTTTATACTGTGAGACAAAATGTGTATGTGTTGATAAATTTAAAACAAAATTTACTACGACGTCCTAGACTATACATTGTGGAAAACGGTGGACATTTTGAACACTTGCCACTTACCACGTAAGTGTAAATAAACTGTAAATAACTAAAAAATCAATCATTGTAAATAATTTGATTTCACATTTTTAACTACGCCAAAATTCTTAATTCTTATTAAATGATAACTTAATTATCTTTTTTAGTACGTAAAACATTTCGATGATAGTTCATAAGTAAAAAATAATTAACATAAACTAAAACGTAATCATTTCGATAACAGGTTTTTCATCATAACATAAATGAGTAGGTGAGAGAGAGATGTGAAATCATTGTTATTGTTGCTGTCTCACTCGGTGCTCGCTTGGTAGTATTCCCAATGCACTCGAAATCAAGCGTAAAGGGAAACGGTTTATTCCTATGTACACTCCAAAACAAATTTATTTTTTGTTCTATCCCATATCCTAATTTTATTTTAGTCTATGTTAAGTTGTAACATGATTTACTATGACATGCATGAATATGTCTCACTTTCAAATATATATATAGCCTGTATATTTTTCACTAATTAACTGCCTCCGTGGCCGAACAGTTACCAAGCCGGACTGCCACGCAGAGGTCCCAGGTTCGATTCTCGGGCCGAGACAAATATTTGTATGGCTTACATATATGTCTCTCGTGAGTTTGGGTGTAATTTGTGGTTGTGTATGTATGTGTCCATGGCATCCGCGACTCAGGGTTTCCCTAATGCGGGGTGATGTTGAGTGTGTGTGTTATTATTATTATTATTATTATTATTATTATCATCTCTATTTAAATGTTTTAAAATGAATGTTGAGCACAGTAATAATTGGGCACAGATATGCCTGTTGTATTAATTTTTAAGTGTTTTTGTTTTCCTCATTTTCTGTATCTGATGTCTGTACATTGTGCCAAAAAAAAAAAAAAAAAATAGTGTTTTTTTTATTTATTTTTAACATACATACAAAAAAATTAAATTGATAACCTCCTCCTTTTTTTGAAATCGGTTAAAAATAGGTTCTCCTGAAAAGAGATGGTATTGCGCAAGTTGCAACAAATGCCATTGCGCCAAATAGGTACCTACAACAAGGTACCTACCGTGGCAAGACTATGGAAACTTTATTTAATTGGAGTGATTATTCGCGTTGTAATTATTATTACGGTATTAATTAGTCCTTTATTAGAATTATACTACAGTAAGAATATAATCCCTAATGTGACCACTTTTACCAACAATAATCTCACGATCAATGTTGCTCTTGCGTCTAATAGCCCTATTCATAATCAGTTGACAGAGGGCTTACTACTTATAAACATGATTTTTTGAAGTGCATACAAATATTTATTCCAGTCCATAGCGTTGGAAAGATATTACTCGTGGCCACGTGCCGACACGTGTGTGCTCTCAAATTCGTATCCTCAACGCGTGACCTTAAAGCTCTACATTTAGATAATAAACCAATACACATTAATAGCTAAAGTTTTAGTAATTCCTACTTATCTGCTCTAACGTAACAAAATATACATAAATTTTATAAATATAAAAGGTATACAGATATATATGAATTGCATTTTGTTATTTTTATGACGCTCTTTCAAATAACACTAAATATTTATTAGACGATCTCCGTGGCCAGGTCACTTGACTCAAGTGGCTTGCACACTGGGTTTCATGGTGTCGCCATCTCTCAGGTTCCGGGTTTGTTCCCCGGGAGGGTCAGTATATAAGTTATTAACTTTTTTATAATGTCTTAGGTCTGGATGTTTGTGGTATCGTCGTTGCTTACGATTTCTATACACAATTAAGTGCTTTAGTTACTTTCTTTGGGGTCAGGGAAATGTGTGCGATGTGGGAAAATATGCGAGATACAGTAGAAAGAAAAAATATCACAAAGATTGGCTGTATGGTTTTAAACCTTTGCCTTGTCCTTCACGGAAAGAATTGAAAAAAAAAAAAAAAAATTGTCATAACAAGTGTGCGTCTAACCTCAAATGTGTAATGATATACGTGTTATTTTAACGAAATGGAGGAGTTACAATTAAATATTTCAGTTTCCAAGAAGGTACGCAGTATTTTCTTTTATAAAATTTGTTATATGTGTACGTCATTAATTTTCATGCAATGTTTTTTGTAGAGTAACAAAAAGTTGGAAGCGCCGAAGAAAGATGCCCCAGAATACAAGTTTTTAACGAAACCTAAATTTACTGGTACGACGATAGCCAGGAAGAGACCTCAATGTTTATCTCAGAAGGGAATAACCCTTGGAAACAACGACGGAGATCCTCCGAAAAAAGTGTCAAAACAAGTTGCTTCACCGCAAACAAAGAAGGGTGATTTGGCTTCAAATTTGCGTGATTTAAGTGAGAATAAGGGCAAGTTTCAAGGTAAAAATTATCAGGACCTTTCTGACGATATAAAAATAAAGCAAAAACCACGAAGCAGTGGCTGGATTTCATCGTTATTCAAGAACAACCCTGATGTTCCTCGCATGGGCCAGAGAGCAGTAAAACCAATTGTAGAAAAAGTGTTTTCTGGCACAACATTTGCTGATTTAGATATTCATCCACATTGTGTAGCTAGTTTACAACAGACCTTGAATATAAAGGATCTTATGACTGTTCAGCAAAATGCTATACCTGTTATTTTACAAGGCCGTGATGTGCTGATCAGGTGAGTTAATCTACTGTATTATGGCCATATATTTTATATTATATATATTTTATATTATAATTTACTGTATCTTATTTCTGTCCCGCTCAATGCAACATCTGTCATTAGATGTGCATCTTGTCAAAACACCCTTATCTATGTAAATTTGACATGCAATTGATGTTACAAATGTAATTGAATCTAGTAAATAAAAAAAAATACTCCAATATGATTATTAATACGAAGATCGCACAATTAAAAAAAATTCCTTTGATCCAGCTGGATTCGAATTAACATCTTCTAGAAAACCGTGCCAGATGCTGTGTATCGTTGTATTTGTTTTTTTCAACATTTTAGCCGTAAATTCAAAATTCAAAATTCAAAATAATCTTCAAAATTAAAAATAATCTTTATTTCATAGGTAAGCATTATTACACTTGAAATCGTCACAATAGTTAAACTCTACCGCTCATTCGTAAGGCAGATTTCCCTGAGAAGAATGAGCAAGAAACTCTAGGGTTTGCTCTTTGTAAATAACATTTACAATATTTTTTTTATATTTGAAACATCAGAGATCGAGACTACCTCCATGAGCTAAACGGCTTACTACCATAGATTTTTGTCATCCAAGTACGCAGAAGTTGTATAATAACCTTTAGTATAAAGTTTTTGTTTCACTATAGTTTTAAACCTTGTGAAAGGCAAATTTTGCATATCAACCGGAATCTTGTTATAGAAGCGTATACATTGCCCCTTAAATGATTTTTTGACTTTGTGAAGACGACTATCATGTTATGTCTGTCACTATTATTCATAAATAAATTACTATTCCTTTTAACATAAATTACATTTTCATAAATGTACTGTGAGGCTAGTGTAAGAATGTTAATTTCCTTAAACTTATCTCTCAAAGATACTTTGGGGCCCAGATTGTAAATTGCCCTAACTGCACGTTTCTGCAGGACAAAGATTCTATTGATATCGGCGGCATTACCCCAAAGCAAAATGCCGTATGTCATTAGACTGTGAAAGTAGCTGAAGTAAACCAATCTAGCGGTTTCGACGTCTGAAAGTTTCCTTATTTTTTTAATCGCGTACACTGCAGAGCCGAGCCGTTTTGATAACTTACTTATATGGGGACCCCATTGCAATTTAGCATCTAACGTTATACCTAGAAATACAACTGTATCCACAAGATTCAATTTTTCGTTTCTAACTACAATGTTTGTAACCGTCTCTCTAACATTGGGTAATGTAACTTTCACACAATTTGTTTTTTTCTCATTAAGAAGTAGGTTATTAACAGCAAACCAATCAACTACTTTAGATATAGCATTGTAGTATTGTGTAAAGGTATCTAACAGCTGGCTGGTAGCTGTAAAGGTATCTAACTGGGTGACAAAATACTTTCAAAGATTTCTCATAGGTGGCGCTAAGTCTAAAAAGTTGTTGAAAAACTAAATACAGAGATATGACAACAAGCACATAGAAACATTTGTAAGGTCTGCTGGTTCGTTCTGTGGCTTAGTTGACATAGTGTCTGGCACGGTTTGCTAGAAGACATCGGTTTGAATCCAGCCAAATCGAAGGAATTTTTTCCAAGTGTTCGATCGTTGTATTAATAATTATAACCAACCAGTCGAGTCATTTCACAATAAAAAAATTGAATTCATCAATCATCAATTCAATAAAAATTTAAAGATATGATTTAAACAAAGTCTTAAGGGTGCAGGAAAGAAACCTCCCAGCACAATATACCATCTCTTTTCTGTAGGTCTGACGCACCCTGGGCAACAATCAGCAAGTAGCTCATGCTGATTGGCAAATCCTTTCATCAAGATTACTATTAAATTAAATTAAATTAAATAAGACTTTATTCATCAAACACACATATATAAATAGAGAATAACAAGTACAATAATTAACTATGAACTAAACTAATCCATCCATAATATATAATGTTGATGAAAAGGACGAAGCCTCAGCAAAGTGCTGTTTTTCAGTCTCCGCCTGTGTTCTCTGTCGGACACTGATTACATTGCATTACAATGTATGCCATCAAGACAATAATAAGAAGTTCTTAATAAATATGAAATACATATTGTCACTTAGCAAACAACACTGCTGAAGTTGAAAATAGGAGGTATCTACTTTTGAAAATACACAAGTGAAAATAAAACTATAATATCAATAAATATAATATAACCAACACACATGCAATATTGTTATCAATAAATAGACCACATATTACACAACAGCTTCAAAAATCTTGTACACAACAGAAATGATTATGTATGATGATATAGTTTTTTTCGCTCTCCTTTAGAATTGCGATTCGAAATTATTTGAGTGGTGTTGTTTGCTATGAGACGATATGCATTTAACAATTATAATGTTAGTACATTAAAAAGGCATCATGTTGTAATCAAATATGTAAAAGTGGAAAATAGTGAAAAAAAGAGATTTTCATTTGAAGCTGAAGTTCTCAATATTGCAATGTTCTTTCATTAACAGGTCTCAAACAGGCTCAGGAAAAACACTAGCCTATGCTTTACCCGTCATAGAAGGTCTGCAAGCAATAAGGCCTAAGATCAGTAGGCATGATGGGATCCGAGCTGTTGTAGTAGTGCCTACTAGAGAACTGGCCGTTCAGACATATGAGCTCTTTGTAAAACTAGTTAAGGTATAAATAATTTAAATGTAATTATATAGTTAACGAGCCCGGCGGGGTCGGGCTTGGCCTGCGGCGCGTGGTCGCTTTCAGATTACGGCGTGTGCTTTTGCTCTTCGGTGGCACAGTGATTAGTACAAAGGGTGCTTGATGAGGAGGTTCCAGATTCTTATTTGAGCCAATTATGAAAAAAACATTTTTAAGTTGGTCCTGATCAGGGTATTCTGCTTCGGCCGCCATTTTGAAATCGCCATCTTGAATTTTTTTAACCCATATGACATTCCTTCGAGCATCTCCTACCTATCTCTAATAGTTTCCGTGATAGACTTTGAAATTTGTATTTTTTACTTCCCGCGGAAATTTACCAGGATGTATCTCATAAAAATGCACAAAAATTCCCCCATCTCCCCCCCATGTATTATAGTTTTTGCAGGCCGTTGATCACTCGTTTAAATTTTTCACATTCAGGTCTTCTCATATTTGATATTTTGCCTTGGAGCCTATCCGCGTACAACGGTATAAATATCTTTTCCACCATATCGGGAAGTATGCGTTCTATTTTTCTAAGTGAGTCTAAACTTGTAGCTTTATATTTATATATATAATAGATTTAGATGTTACTATGTGGAAACCAATGTTAATAAAAATCGAGCTTTTCGCTACGCCGTGAGCCCAGTCAAGGTTATGTTGTGCATAATTGCTGCTCTGGTCATGCAATCAATTTTCTCATCCTCCCTCTGCAGTAAATTAATAAAACAAATAACATAAGCGCAATTACAGTCACAAACACCAACATCAAAAATATACTCAGTATTTAATGTAATTTAATGTAAAATGTAAGTTATTGTGAGTTGTTTGTATTAGGTTGCAATTTTAAAATGTAGTCTGTTTCTCATATGCAATCACATAAACAGAGATTTTTCAACCCGTTTGACCATTTGTTCTTTTCAATTAATTTGAATAAAATTTTTATAACCCGAATTAGACTTATTGTATATGTTTCTAGGAACTATTATACTCTTTGATTAAATTTTTTTTATGCTCAGTAAGTTTTGAGTTGCATTTTAGCCATTCACGTGGGTTGTGCCTGGTCTATTAAGTGGAGGTCAGAAGAGAAAAGCAGAGAAAGCAAGATTGAGAAAAGGTCTTAGCGTTTTAGTTGGTACGCCAGGCAGAATTAATGACCATTTGAGACACACTAAATCTTTGAACTTTGCTAAGACTGGGTAAGTTTTATTTTAGTATGTATGTATTATTATTCAATTCAAATCCTGTTTGTTACTATTCTATCCCCATTGCCGTAAAAGCAATTTCACTGACTCTAAACCTTAAAATTAATAGTTAAATTATTAAGTAATCATTATTAACATGTCACGAGGTAATTAGCTAATAGATTTGTTTAACATATCATTGAATATTTAAATTGAAATACAATATTTAAAATTTCCAATATTCTACTGATCCATTTATTAAGCCAAAGTTAAAATAATAGACACCATCATAGTGAGGATTTCTTTTATAGATGTTTAGTACTGGATGAAGCTGATCGTCTACTAGACATGGGCTACGAAAAAGATGTAGCAGCTATTGTCAAAGCTATTGAAGATCACAAAAAAGCAGCAACTTATGATCCGATAGCTCTTATGAAACAGAATGTAAAAAAGAAAATAGCTAGTGATGACGAGGTTGAGGAATCTGACCAAAAAGTGACTGAGGAAATAACGCATGTGAAACATGCAATAACAGAAGTAATGCTTTCCAAAAGACGTCAAACTATTTTGCTGTCTGCAACATTGACTAAAGTAAGTGTTATTTATGCTTTTTTTTTAAATAATGTAGATTGAATTAGATAGAATTAGAATTGATGATCTAGCATTGTGTTTTTGGGGATCATACAAAAAAATGTTCAGGATAATCTTGCAAATTGCAGAATTTCATGTGAATAAATTGTTATTTTATGTATTTCTTAGGCAGTTGAAAATTTAGCCGGGATCACTATGGTGGATCCTGTATTCATAGATACGTCAGAAGGCAGAGCAGTTGTAGCTGATTCGTTAAAACCTCAAGTTCAAAAGGAATTCGAAAAAGTCGGAAAGGAAGAACCAGTGAATGAGGAAAAGGGAAAAAATAAAAATAAATCCAAAGCTAAAATAAATACTGAGGAAGTTGATGATGAAAGTAACAGTTCTGATTTTCAAGAAGACAGACGGGTAGAAGTCAAGAAAGGTAAGTGAAATGTGTATGGACGTAATGAATATAAATTATTTGTGAATTTTAAAACACAATTAAAGAAACGCATTTCATCCTCTTTTGTAGGATTAACAGCGTTTAGTGGAATAAAACACTCAGACTTATTTAAAAACGACGACGATGATGATGACAACGTTGTGGCAACTAGTTCAAAAGTAGATGATGTCAAAAGCACTAGAGAAGAAAGCGACAGTGACTCTGATTACGAATACTTCAAAGTACAAAAAGAACTAGAAGTCAAGAAACCCGCTGCCATGGAAAGTGATGACGAAACAGAACCATCATATGTGGCTAATACGTTTGCAGATGCTCTCAAAACAGCTATAGTTGAAGATGAATTAGTTTTGCCAGCAACAGTAAATCAGACATTCCTTATAGTGCCAATGAAACTGAGATTAGTTACACTTTGTTCTTTGATCGTCGAACATTGTGTGTTGAATAAAAAAGGTGGCAAGATGATAATATTCATGGCGACTCTAGAAATGGTGGAATACCATTCGGACTTGATAGAAACAGTACTAACAAAAAAGGACGTAAAAGTGAAGAAGAAAGATAAGAGGAAAGAAAGGATATCAAAAGCTAAGAGGAGAAAAACAGATGGTATCGACAGTGAAGAGGTATTAACATATTATCGATTTATGAATTTGAAATGATGATTATTTTCTCTTTTCTTTGTAATTCCGTTATTATTTACTGTTAGCTAATTTAATGTAGGTCATTTAATCGTAATGTGAGTGCATCACATTACGACGACTTTTTCGTTTAATTTTTTATTAAGTAGAATTTATTGTTTGAAAACAACATAAGTTTGAATTTTAGAACGAATCTTCGGAAGACTCTGAGTTTGAAATAGACTACGAAGGTCCAACTGAGGGCGGCCTAGTGCCCGTCGCTTTTGAGGCTTACAGTCTGCACGGATCCATGCCCCATGAACAGCGGATGGAGGTGTTTCGGCAGTTTCGGAAGGCTAAGAACGGTGTGCTCATCTGTACTGTAAGTGCACTCTCCATTTATAAACTATTTTAGAATCCATTATTTGTACACATTCTATGCGATCTTATGCTCATTAACTTTTTTCTTTTTCATTTCATTAGAATGGAACTCTATTTTCGGATGATCTAAACTGCGTGTTTTCTTAGGCAATCAGCGCTCTTAATATATCTATTGTACTAAGTTCTGTCTAGTCTAGTGTTGGCGGTGTCAATAGTGATCATAACTTGAAGATTTGAAATGAAATCTCTATTAAAACCATAGAACAATAAGTATAGTAGAAATGCTTAGTGGACGTGGTACGTGTGCCAACAGTATGCGGAATTCCGCATACTTGCGTTCAGTCCGCCACTTTTGCTTTGTACGTTTTGATCGTGTCAAATATCCCGCGCAAAACCTCTAAAATCGTGGATTTGGAAGTGCAAAAATTCTATTTGCACCTCTAATATTATTATCCATGGTGGTGATTCATTATCATCTTTAAGTTTTATTTGATTTTAATACATACATTTTTCATTTTCTGTTTATCGAATAGGTTTTTTGTTATAAGAAACGAAAGTAAACCTTATATCGCTTCGATGTGGTCGACTTTTTTTATTTTTGGAAAACGTTAATAGTCGTAAATCATTCGTCGTCTTTCAGCCATTGCCACTAGATGGCAGCACATTTAATGAAATTTCATGATATAATCAAAACGTCGTAACTTGCAATGACAGGTATTGAACTTTCAATGATATGCCAACTTCGTACATTTAAATATATGAACAGCCCACAATTTGTTAAATCTTAAATTTGAAATTACGACCAAGCATTATCAAGATTTCATAGTGTTTATCATTTGTTTGTGTGCGTTTAGGCGATAGCGGTTCTAATAGTAATCGAGGCTTATTAAGGCACTTCCACTGTTTTTTTCTTCCGCGGTTAAAACTTTTTTTTTTAATATCAAGTGACGGGACGAACAAATCGTGTGCTTGGTGGTAAGCTACACGCCTGTCCGTAACAGTTGCAGTGCCACTTTTGATAGCAAAGATCTGAGGGACACTGCCACTGCGCCTGTCACCCTGACACGTAAGTTAACAAGATTCATGTGCCTATAACGTCACCAACACCCTTACCCTTCAAAACCGGAACGCAGTAATGCTCAAATTAATGCTTGGCGGCAGAAATAGGTGAGGTGGCAGTACTTCCTTGGACGAACTCTATTACAAGGAGCTTCACTGCTAAAAAATTTTCATTTACGTAAATGAAAATTTTTCGGACTTACATATATTATATGTATTTGTTATTTCAGACAAACCAACTTTTCGGGTTCTTTACAGACTCCATGGTCACGGGTGATTCTGCCCTCGTAACGAAAAAAGCACAACTACATGCGCATTTTATACGACAATTGTGCTCTGTTTCGCTCCAAGTTCAGTATTCTGAGACGTAGTTACCAAAATTATTATTTTAAGTACTTTTTTTACTAAATATGTGTTCCAATTTGCGCTTCATGCGATTTGCGAAATATTTTATTTTATGTTATTATTAGTTTTCGTTCGTGCTTCGTAATTACGAAATTACTTTATAACAGTTCGATGTTTTTGTGTTCAGTTAAAACTCTTACTCCGGATTTGTTGGTCAAAATCGATACCTACCAAATTCCAAATATATATGAATAATAATAATTTATTTAGTATCGTATTTCCAATAACAGAATTTTATATTGTTTGATTATTCCATCAACGTTTCACATAAAGCTTTTCTCTTCATCGGTAAACTTAACGGCAACTATCACACAGATATTTAATACTTACAGTAGCATTGTAAAGTGATGTCTACAGACGTCATCACATACCGCTGGCTGCATCATCGTCTGTAATCCACCAACAATGGCGGGATTCCTACCGCTTACTTTATACACGCACGGTTAATTGCTGCGCCACTGGACGGCAATTGACTGCATTCAGCTCTTGAATTTTGATTTAATTAATATTTCAAGCCGAAAAACCAATATTGAGTTTCGCATTTATAAACTGAGTTATGATGATAAGGCCAGAGGCCGGCTTACAGACAATCGCATCTACTGTTTTATTCTTTATTTTTATGTGCTTCTTGTTTGGGCAGAACGAAGATAAAACATTTTCAAAAACACGATTAGAACAGCACAGGTCACACAACCATTATATTTTTATGGTTCTCATCAAACGTAGCACACTAATTTCCACTTACAAAGTAACGATTCCGCCCACTGGGACAAATCAATTACTGACGCGGTTGAGAGAATAATACATACCCTACTAGAGTAGAAAAATTTTCGTCCTTCGGGAGAGGCTAAGGCCCCTAAACCTTATTGCCAGGTCTTTAGAGTACTCTACTAGAGCTTTTGTCGTTTCCTAGAATGACGAACACAATATTTCATAAAAACAAGTGGGCCAGGCACGATAAGTAACTGTGACTGAATATTCAGTGACAAACGTCTAATATTGCATCAGTAATAATGTCATTGAACGCAATTTAAAAGTACCGTATCTATAAACTTACAATATCACTGGTTCTACTGCTCCCGCCGCCACAATACGCCTCGATTAGCCACCATTATCTGTATTTATTACATCTACGCGCTACGCCTTTGATATAGAGAATGATTTAGATCGTCATAATTGGTATTGAATACGGAACTATTTCTTTCATTCGTGTATCGGTATTCGAGCTTCTGTGTGAGCCGTGATGATGACTTGCTGGGGCTACTTTTCGTATACATAGGAGTGGTCAATGTTAAGAAAAAAGGGCGACGCATTGATCGCGGGATACACAGACCAAGATACATTACACGACCATATCGAACCATTCTCGACCCTTAATAACTTAAAATCTATTTAATAATACATTCTTGTAATCTGATTTGTCTAGTAAAGGTCCCAATTGTCCAGATTTCCCAATTTTATTTAAAATGGGTCAATTAATTCTTATAGTATTATCGATGCTTAAAATACTCATCGAAAAGATGGTTATCAAAACTCTATACCAATTCAAGTTGACTTTAAAATTTAGCACGGAGTTAGGCCATTGGACAGAAATAAAAAAAAACAGAAAACAAAGTTAAGTCCAAATTGATGACTAACAATTACATATTTACTTTACCTACGTTAAATCTTTTATATACTTGGTAAATAAGCCAGCACTTCCCTGTATAATATTTAGTTACACTTCTAAGTTTACGTAACGATTATTACAAGTTGTTATCATTTGCGAGCAGGATCTGTTCACGAGTTTACCCGTCTTTCTGAATAATGAGACAAACAGTTACATAAGGCAAATCATGTAGTAGCAGTAGAGTTCCTTGTGAAAGAATTCGTCCAGGGAATTACTTCCACCTTACCTATTTCTGCCGCCAAGCAGTAAAGTGAACATTATTGCGTTCCAGTTTTGAAGTAAGGTAGGTAAGGTGAAATTGCAGGCACATGGGACTTGTCAACTTATATCTAAGGCCGATGGGTACTGTGGCATTACCCCTCAGAACTTTGCGAACACGATTTGCTCGTCCCGTCACTTGGTACCATATAAAAAAAAACTTATCATTATTAAAATACGCACAGTGCGTCCAAAGCAATTGTACTAAATCTGTAACAAATTCATAACATTAAAATTTAACATCCTTTTGTATGTTGTTCACGAGATGGTATATGTAGCAGCGGGCGGTCGGCTAACTCATTACCACTAATGTGCACTTAATAAAGCTTCCGTGGAGAATGTTGATGTATGAATTAAATTATGCTCACTTGTGTTATTGTAATTCTATTATTGCGCAATTGATTTTTGTAATTTGTGACAGGATTTAGGATCTAGAATTTATTAAACGCATATACTATTTTTTAAATATGAGAATATGATTTGGCCTTAGAAGAGTTGTACACACTATATAATTTGCTTTCTGTGGGTTAAAATCTTTTGGAATTTTTTTTGTATATTTTGAGTCAAAAATAAAATATAAGGTTCGTTTATAAGGTAACGTTGTTTTTAAGTTCTTTCCGATAAGTTAGAAGAAGCTTAAAAACAACGTCACAAGGGACAGTCTGATTCATAAACAACATATCGCACAGTATTGGGTTTCTTGTGCGGTCATAGGAAACCAAATACTGTCGTAATTCAAAAGTAATAACGTCTATAGATACATGTATAGATTAGAGTTGTTAAAACCACAAAATATTAATTAATTACTTTTTCGAATTCCGGATTTCCGGAAATGGTTTTACTGCATCGTAAGACAAAACTACTGACCTAGGAAGTCGAAGTTGGATTTTAAAGTAATTCTAATGGTGCCATCTAAAAAATGCAGTTGATAGAAGGTCATCCAAAGCAGAGAATAAAAAAGTAATAAGAATGGTCACTCTCCGCCCATCCCTAGCTTTAGATACGGCACTGCGCCCCGCATATTGACGGTCACATTGACGGAACAGCAACAAAGCTGCCAACATGGGATCATTAGAATTACTTTTTAATTGAATTTCGATTTCCTAGGTCAGTAGTTTGTCCTACTATGCAGTAAAACAATGGTTTTGCTGCATCCAGAAAAGGCGAAAATCCGGAATTCGAAGTAGTAATTAATTAATGTTTGGTGGTTTTAACAAATCTATGTCGCCCCTTGTAGCTAGCTATGTCTATACTGTAGGTGATGACATTGTGAAAACGCGATTTGAAACTGAATTACTGAATGTAACCAATAAATTTATATTCTCGTTTATAAGTAGATAACTAATTATTATATAAAAATAAAAATAATGACATTATTGACAATAAGATTCGTTCAGTTTCCAAAAAAACGTTTTTTCTCAATTCCATCATTTTTGAATTACAACAGTATCGGGTTTCATGTGCGCTATTTCAAATTATCTTAATATTATTTTACGTTTAGGACGTGGCAGCAAGAGGGTTGGATATACCACGTGTCGACATGGTTCTGCAGTACTGTGCTCCTGCATCTGCCACTGATTATGTCCACAGGTTGGTGCGTCTATTAACAATTACTTTTAGTCCAGTAACTTTTAAGGAATTGGATTCTTTACCTTTTAACCTTAATATAATAAACTTTGTTATAACCTCTTAAACTACAATACTCGTGTAAAATTTGACTTTAGGGTAGGTCGTACAGGGCGCGCCACGCAAGTAGGCGCAGCGATGATGTTCTTGCTACCGAGCGAAGCAGAGTTCGTGAGATATCTCGAACAAAAGCGAATTAGGTAAGATTGTTACTTTTATACAATGTTGGTAGTGCACAAACTAGTTTGAGTCATTGTACTTGTATTTACTAGACTACGTCAAGCAAACGAAAAGCAAGCTCTGGAAGCGTTGCGAACAGTGGCGCCAGCGGCTGCGAATCCAGCCAGAGCTGCCATTGCAGTACAGACACGGTTAGAACAGGTTGCACACAGTAACCGAGAGTGGCTAGCGAGGGCTAGTAGAGGTCAGTATCTATTATTTTTCAACAGGGTAAAAAATTACTTATCAAAGTTATTAACCAAAGACGGGGTGTTCCTAATGAGTTGATAAATGTCTACATATAGATACAAGGAGTGACATAGTGTCGTTAAAACCACTAAATATTAATTAATTACTTTTTCGAATTTCTGATTTCCGGTAATAGTTTTACAGCATCGTAGGATAAAACTGTTTACCTGGAAAGCTGAAGTTGGTTTTTAAAGAATTCTAGTAGCAGCATGCAAAAAAATGCAGTGACTAACCTAACTAATCTTTCTCCGAAATTTTTTTTAACATTGCAAAAGCTTGTTTTAACTAATGCGGATATTGTCGATATTTTTATACTTATGGATTCCAAACCACACCCTGCCCCAAAATCATCTCAAGTACGATCTCTGGCGCCTGTATTGGTAACACGGAGCGAACAATGCGGTAAAACTATTTCCCGAAATCCGGAATTCGAAAAAGTAATTAATTTATACTTGGTGGTTTTAACCACTCTATGTCACACCTTGTATTTATAGGTACCTTCTTAGTCGGAATACCCTATTCCAACCATTGGCTATTAACTACGACTTTACCGCATTATTTTATAAAGTGTACTACTTTCATTATTTGCAATTTTATTATAGTAAGCCAGACACAGCGATCGACTGTACGTTCCACGACCAAGAATGTAGTTTACGCCAACTTAAAAGAAAAGAAAAAATATAATGTTTATTCCCGGACAGAAAATCGTTATTAATGAATTAAACAATGGTTTGACTGATCAAAAACTATTCTGCCGTCCACTAACTAAAACGCGGCTAAGCAAATGGTCAAATAACCGTTTTAAATAGCAAAAAATAGAGCACAAAATTCTCTTTTAAAAAAAGTTAAAATTGGTTAACGTGTTCGACATATCGGAACTTACCCTAGCAATGCATTGCAGAGACATCATTAAACAAACGATTTCAATATTCTAAAACGGGTATGGTTTTTTATGATACCTCAAACAATTATCTTGTGACTTAACTGCCTTTCACTTAGCGGATGGCAGTATTTTAAAAATTTGTAAAACTGGGAATTTTTTTTCTTCGATGATAACATTTTTGTATTCTAGCCCTTCAAGAATTAAAGTGAAAGGTGGCTCACATTATTCCACCTCTAAGGGTGGCAAATTAGTGGATGAATCTGGTTTATTAGATTTCACAGACGTGCCGTTACGATTTCAATAAAACTTGGCAAATAGATGTGATTCCACAAACTTTTGAGGTCGGCTTTTTGTTAAAAGCTATAATTATTCTTCCGCTATTTTGTCCATGCAAATCGGAACGTAATAAACAAAAGAGTGTCATTAATTTAGAAATAAGAATGAACAATGAATGCGTCATAATAGTGGTTAGTTTTGTTTTTAAATTCGAAATTGGTAAAAGAGATTACTTTTGAGCCCCCCTTCTCATGTGTTCGGAAGTGTATATTTTTTTTTTACTAATTATTAGCTTGAATCTGACCAGAATCTCACCTGATGGCAACTGACGATGTAGTCGATGATGGAATATGCCTGCCTATGAGTCGCTAGTTCTTGCTTATGTTGTATTTGTCAGGAACATCTACGTAGGCAATTCTTTTTTGTCTATTTAAAATGATGCTTTATACAATCGTAAATCGTTTGTCGAGTTTATTCCATTTCCCCGTGGCAAAATCAGTATGGCAATCTAGATTGGCCATGAGATAGGTTCCAAATTTCAGACCGGAAATCGCGATAGTTTCCGGAAGCCTTTCTAGGTGCATTTATTGTCGAGGAACATAAATAATTTAATGTTATTACTAGAAATATAGTTTTAAATTTATTACACTACACTATTAAGTTAGTCTCAATCTTTGTCGTTTTAAATAAATATTGTAAATGTTAAATGTGTACAATTGTATGTTTACAAAGAGCAACCCTATAGAGTTTCTTGCTCATTCTTCTTAGGGGAATCTGGCTTACGAATGAGCAGTGGAGTTTAATCCATGAACCGCACACAAAACTGTCAGTACTTTTCTTGCCGTAGTACTTATGGTGAGGCAATATAAAATGTTCAATGTATGTAATTATAGAGTTTTGTCAGTACGTTATTGATACTTCTCTATAGAAAAGCAGTAGGCGGCAACTACACAGAAAGCGCTTGGAAATCGTACTGTAGTTGATTTTTTAACCGATTTAAAAAAAGGAAGAGGTTCACAATTCGATTGTATTTTTTTGTATGTATGTTACGCGTTAATCCGTAATTTGTGAATCGATTTTGGTGATTTCTTTTTTGTTGGACAGAGGATACCTCAGTATTGGTCCCATTTAAATTTGAAGAAATGTTCCACCTCTAAGGGTGGTAAACTAGGAGATGATCCGGTATCGTGCATTTTCCGGTAGCCGATTAAAAAAAAACTTGGCAAATATTTCCACGAACTTTTGAGGTCGGTTTTTTTTATAAAAGAGTTCTAATTGAGATCCATATAGCGAAACCCGTACTAACATATTGTAATATTTAATTTTACGGAAAACAGTGTTACTGTTCATGAGTGTTAGGGTAGCCTGGTCTGAGATGACCCATCCGATAAGAGTACGCAATGTAGATTGCCGAGAAGTTATTTACTATACGCAACTAAGTTCAGTGTGATTTTGTAGCGCTAGGAAGTGGAGATTATTGTGTGGAAAAAACATCAAAAATTATTGAAAACCAAGAAACTACCTACGTCTGAACATTTTTATGTATTTGCATAAAACTTTTTGGGTATTTTCAAATTGTTACTGAGACTAAATTAAGCATGTTTTTTTAAACTAACTTTGTATCAAATCGCCCAAAACCTCGTCTAGAGGTCAAACTGCAAATGATTCTGGTCACTTGCAACATATGGGGTTAGTAGAGTTTTATTCTGAAATGGCTGAAGTGTGTAAGAGTACGCGACTCGACGTGTTGCAAGAGTACGCGCGTAGTCTCATACCATTTTTTTAGAATAGTGTACTTCTGAATAAAATTTCTGTCGTTATGGCTCGTTCTAAATCAACTGAGTCTAGTATTTTTAAAGGACAGACCTGAGGCATGTGCTCCGAATGTGTCTGAAACATCGGCTGCAAGTGCGCCTGGAGCACCACCACCACTCTAACTGAGGTATGTCCGTGCCGCAAGTAGACTCTACTCAGTTCTCCATGAGCAAAGGCCGATACATACCGAGAAAAAGAATCACATTACCAGAAAAATATGGAGGTGATTCGTGCAACCGATAAACGAAGTCCTATCAAAAAAGATGTTGCGTACTCTTGCCGACCCACATGCGTACTCTTACCCATGGTACAGTGTAAGAGCACGCAAATCCCATTTTGCACTTTTTTATCAATTACAACCACACTATTAAATATAACTACTTTTCACGTTAGTATGTAACAGTCTGATAAGTAGACTATAAAATAAAATAATAGCTGATTTTCTAACACTTTTTGTTTTCGTTCTACACGGCCTCAAACCTTTAGTGCGTCGTCTTAAACCAGGCTACCCTAATCAATATGGTGATTTCAAGTGCAATTTGTTTACATATCAAATGAAGATTATTTGAGTTTGAATAAAGATTAGTTGAGTTTGACGCGTTCCAAAAATATCTAATTCAAATAAACAAATCACATTAAGTTTTTGTATGTTCTATAGCATACACGTCATGGGTACGTTTCTACTCGGGCTACCCGCGCGAGGTACGGTCGTACCTGGATGCAAAGCAACTGCACCTCGGCCACGCGGCCAAGGCCTTCGCTCTTAGAGACACTCCGGCGGCTTTAGTAAAACGAGCTAAAGGCCACCCCGGCCTGAAGCAGGAACGACCTAGTAATAGACTTACTGTACACGAGGAGGAGGAAAAGAAGAGGCCAGGGTGAGTATTTATTTAAGAATAAATTGTAAAATAAGAAACTTTTAAGAAGGCTTCGACACAGACAATTCGAGATTAGAATTGTGCAATTTTCCAATAATCGTAGTACACTTTTCTTTACATGAGATGAGAAAAGATGACAGTGTGACTTATTTACTGAAAAAATATAAATAAAGTAAGAAAACTTCGAAGAATTCACAGACATATGATTCATATTTGATTATTATTTTTGAACTTACGGGCTATTAAAAACACTACTCTTATTGAAGCCAATGTTTAAATTGAGGCTATGAGCGCAATAGTGGTGTAAACCACATTCGCTTTATTTCCTACAATATTACTTTCAATGATACTAATGTATATAATTATTTATTCTTATGCAATTTTGATATATGTACATATAGGTATGTTACATTTTTTTACGAAACTGAAAATAGTATCTGAATATATAAAATAATTATGTATGTACTTTAGTATTATTTAAAGTAATATTATGGAAAAAAATTAACGTGGGTGACACCACTTTAGCCTCAATTAAATGGTTAGTAATATGTCATTAAAAAAATCATCGTCCTATAGGTTTTACCTACAATGTTTTGCGTAGGTTCCCGAAAGTGAAAATGGGTGCACCAGGTAGAATAGTGAACAAACAAAGCTCCATGCACACAGCCAGCGAGTTTGACAGCGGTTTACCGCCCGTCGAACACGCAAAGAAGAAGAAAAAGAAGATTAAATAACAAAACACGATTGTAAATTATGTACTTAGGCAACGTTCATTTGTAAATAAGATTTTTTTTAAATCTGAAGTTGTAGTTTCCTTCGGGCCCGGTAATCGTAAACGGCTTTTCTGATGAAGACAAATAAAAGATGGACCAAGTCCAAAATTCTAATCGCGAGTCTCGGATTAATGGAAGCGAGGCCGATGGCTACCGTTTTCGTTTCTGACTCACGAGTGCCTCGAATGAAAAATGATTTTAAACCATTACCGTGCCCCGTCCGGCCTTTTGATATTTAAATTTTTTTCAAGCGGCCGTCATTATGGCGGGATGATTTGCGAATTTCGCCCCAGCCCGCGGTTTTTGTCAGACTCTGAACGAGTTTTTTGTCGTTCTCATTTACCATGTTTTTATTGCTCCGTAATGACAAATTAAAAGAGTATTGTAGGCCGCTTTCATGCTGTAATCTCCGGCCTTTTCAAGGTTGAAGAGCTTTTCTTGCGGAGACAGTTTTGGATGACTTAATCGTGACGCGTATAAATTGTACGAGCTTAACGAAGCTCTTCATACTTTGTAATGAATTCGCATCTGAATAAGGTCATCAGTTTCTTTAGAATTTTCGTGCACTATTTTTCATATTGAAACTGCTTATGAATCTTCCTTATGAATATCAAGCTCTTAATTTTAAGCGCTTGAAAATTATCATATCATTTTAGTGTAAATATTTTATTGAATCAAATTTGAAATATTGGAGTAGTGCTAAAAATTCACATAATTATTTGCTGCTTTTCAAGAATGGTTATGATTCATTTAATTGTGAAAACATAGGTTGTGTAAAAGTTGACTTGTAGCATTGACTTACAATTATATGGACGTCGGGTCCGCGCTAAAAAGTGTCCGCACTTGTAAGGCGCTAAAATCGTATACAGAGCGCGACACTGCGCTTTAGTCTTCATTTGTTCTACTGACAGCGCGATACTGCGATGACATTACAATTTAAATTTCGAATAGGTTGACTTGGGACATTTTTTTCGTGGTTTTTGTATTAGACCCGTCGTCCATTTATTTGTAAGTCAATGACTTGTAGCAAAATAAATACAGTATCACTGTATCCAGCTAGACATTAGGCATACAAACATATTGAAGGTATATTATACAATCATTTAGTCACATGCACTTCAACAGATTGAAGTAGATGTAACTTGTTTTTTAATAATATCACACAGCCTTGCGCATATGGGTTTAATAAGTCAGTCAGTAATTTAAATTTTAAAAATTAAAACGAAACCAAAAAATTTGGTGAAATTTAGGCACACGGGGCTAGTCAAATTATATCTGAGATACATACGTTGACAAGTCCCATGTGCATGTAATTTCTCCAACACCCTTCAAAATCGGAACGCAGTAATGTTCACATTACTGCATGGCGGCAGAAATAGATAAGGTGGCAGCAATTCTCTGGGCAAACTCTTTCACAAGGAGCTCTAATGATGTTACTAAAAAATTATAACGCGATAGCCGGCCGACTTGCCGACTTTAGACACCAGTACTCGTCAATTTTCAAAACTATTTTTGTTATATTCTATAAAAAAAATGTTATTTACAATTAAATTGAACACATCTACTACCATAATCTTATAGGTTTCTCAACAAGTTAGTTATACTACACATTGTTTGTATTTACTGTGGCTGCAAAGTTTAAGTGATGACTGGTAACATATCCAACTATTTATAGGTATCTATTATTCGTAATATAGTTGTGTGGTGCGGCTTCGCGCGTCATTAGGCCTGCATTTGCATACCGCCAAACCTCGTGTAAATGCCCTTTCATTAGCATCAGCTCTACTGAAAAATTGTTCTGCCAAACATCAAGTTATATATTGGCATAAAAATTTGTCCGGTTGCTGGGTTACATTTTATTTTTAACCGACTTGAAAAACAGGAGGAGGTTCTCAATTCGACTGTATTTTTTTGTATGTACGTTCCATGGCCCTCTGTGTTTACAGAAGGCCATGGAATCAACCTTGTAGGTCGAGTTTCGAACATTGAGATCCGACGACGGATGAAAGGTCAAGATGCTGGAACTCGGATCATGGAACTCAAATGGGGTTGGGCGGGACACGTAGCAAGGCAATGTGATGACAGGTGGAGCAAGACGTCGACTGATTGGTGGCCGAGGATGGGCAAAAGAAGAGTCGGGCGCCCAGTTGCAATTGCAGTTTAAAACCGGAACACAGTAATGCTGACATTACTGCTTGGCTGCTTAACACAAAAAATCACAAGGAAAAAAATTATATGTATATAGTTGTAGTTTACATAGATAATTCAGGTTTTTTTTTTCAAATGCTCCCTCTGGTAGCACCCCCTGGACAGCATCAACGCTTTGCTTTCGAGGCGTCTACCGCCTTAGGACTCTTCAGCGCCTGCTGGTTTCCCAAAGTGGTCCATATTGTAGGTAGTGTGGAGTCCTTAGTCCTTAAAATGAATATTGATTTTATTTCTGAAGAGCTGAAAGGCCTGAAGGTTTACATTGTGGGCGCTGTATGCGGAGGTCCCGAGTTCGATTCCCGGTAGGACCAATTTGGGAAATGAATTTTTCTAAATTGGTTCTGATTTGGTTGCTCAGGGAAATGCCCCATATTGAATTCCGTTGCTCTGGTACTCATAGTACAGGGAATTCCCTAGTTTGAGACCAGTTGGTGTGGTTGCCTGACACACAAAAAAAATCTGCGTGTCCGATCGACTTGTAATATGGTATACTATGAAAACATTTTACATTACAATAAAAATATAATAGAATAGATATTTATTGCAATGCCACAACACATGGATACAAAAAACGAACACGACTTGCTCGATATTATAAAAAAAATGGATAATATAATAAGTAATGTACGTAAACAGGGAATAGGCTGTATGTAAAAGTTTCAAAAAGGCCAGACACGAACAGCGAAACCCTGTAAGGAACAACACGTTGCGAGATAATGAAGCACTTAGATTTCTGGTTCGCAAACCTGCCGGCTACACAATAAAACAACAACAATTTCTGCCATTTGATTTCTGTTACTAAAGGGACTACTACGTGGGTAAGAAATATGTAGGTACGTGTTCGGTAGAATATAGGTAACAATGATATTTAATTGAAAAGCGATATGAAATACTTTACATCGCTTTTTTAGACATTGTAGTACACTCTGAAAGTACATGTCAGTTATAACACGGTTTCTTTAATTTATCATTTTTCCGCACGTGTGGCTGAAGTTAATCTAAATTTAATCTACCGTCCTCACAATGGCAGATAACATTAATTTTCGCCTATAATTCGCCACCGACCGATTCAGTACGTGAGCGGTGAGCTCCATGATTGATGTACAAGGAAATGTATCAGATTAAATAAATTTATGCCGGCATAGTGGCTGCTTTCACGGCGAAGAGTTCTTTTCAAAGAGGCGAGTCAATTCGGTAGTACAATGAGCGCCGGGCTTGGTGGCCTAGAGTCATGGATAAACAGGAACTCGGTAGATGTGTTAAGTCTACCCATTCGCTGATGTACTCTAAGAGGCTGTTGTTGGTTACTAGTAATTCTAGCTATAGTGAGGATAGTTACGAAAGTTTAACGCACGTGGTGTGCATACACACTCATTTAATGCACACAAATTAAAACTATAGAGTTTGAACTTTTAGAAGTTTCAAGCAAAACTTTCATTTTTTTATTTATTTTTTTTATTGAAAAACTTTAATTTTTTTTTGCCAACCCAAAAACCAACTTTCCTCTCAGTTTTTCAAAGGTTACAGGGAAGAAATTATGGGATAAGCTCGCCTTTGTACACTAATATTTCAATTGTTTCTTAAAATTTGTAATTTACTTTGTGGTACAATAAGTAAATTACAAATTACAAAAGTGCTTAAATCATGTTTAAATAAATAAACAAATGAAAAAAAATCTCTATATTAGTCAATAAAATATGCCTACTTCTTAAATAAATATTAATTTATTTTTTATTTCAATTTTATTGCACTTAAAGCAGCACAAATGGCGAACTTAATGTCGTTAGGATTCTCTGCCAGTTGTAGAGCTGGATTCAGAATAATTAACAGGTGGTGAATAACACGATTAGAAACACTTAGAATCGACATTTATAAATTAATGATTATTATTAGGATTCATAAATAACTAAGAAATACCTTGTATTTTTATAGATATGTTGTACATATCACGGAGTATTACGCAAGGGCAACGCCTAGTCCCTGAAATACTTAGTTAAGGTTAATATCGGAGACTAATTCACCGTGTAACATGTCTGCGCGTTTCACTTAGAACAGTTGGTCTATGCGTTGGCCGCCGAGAGCAAAGGCGCCGCGTCACGACGCACCGAATTACGAGCACAAAGCGCCGTTGATACCGAATATTCCATATAAATATTGAGCTAATCGCCCTTTCAATGAAGCGGCCCGCTTTTTATTAATAATTGATCGCGGACCGGCGAGTCATGCGCCGTATTGTGTGCGAGCGAAGGAACATATTTTTTGCTGTTGCCCAACTCATTAATGAGAGCTCCAATGGTTCCACTGCCCAATGTTGAACACTCAAACTGGCTAATGCCCCACCGAAGTTCTCCTCACACATGGCGTCCGGCTCGTGAACTTATCCGAAACGAATTTTCGATGATCCCAGGATACATGTTAAATGATACGGATCTAATCTTTGTTTATGTTACCGATAACCGATTATTTTTTAATTAACCTTTCGTCGTTGATGGCGTTTTAACCCTTTTGCGGAAGAAAAAGCCGAACTGGAGAAGTTATAAAAGTTATTAACAACTGTGGCCTTTATATTTAAATAGGTACATGTCACATTAACTGTGCAATTAATTGCAATAAAAACATGTCATGTGACCCTAAACATTTTAAAAGCCTTTGTTTTCAACAAAGTTGTTGGACATGGTTAACAATGAAACAGCTTTAATTACAAATGTAATACAGCACAGTTTATTCTTAGAAATCTGCGCAGACATTAGACCAGCTACAAGGCTGCTTGTTCGAG